GTGTGTTGGTAGTCTGCCCCAGCATTGTGTTTTCTTTCTCAAAATACATTTTTTAAAGACTGACTAATCCTAGCATAACTTTAGCCAGAATAATTGCACCTTGTGCAATTACGTGGATAATTGCATGAATGTGAACATTGCTTTGGCCAGCCTTTCCCCCATATAATTTTCCAGGGGACATCCTCTTCAGCTGCAATGTATTCTTTTGGGATCTAATTATGATGTCTCTTGGAATATGGCCTGAGTACAGGAATTCAAGTTGGTTTTCCAGGGCGGAGACCATGCAAAAATCCCAATTGGATTCACTGGAATCCAGTTGTTAACATCATGCTGTTCAACTGCATTGCAATGGAATAACCCATTACAGATTTAATTTACACACTAAAATTGAATGCTAAAGTATGGTAAATGAAATAAGCCAGTCAGAGAAAGACACATATCCATGATCTCGCTTATATGTGGATTCCAATGAACAAAATAAACGGACAAACCAAATAGATCCAGAGGCATGGATGCATGGAACAGACTGGACAGATGTCAGAGGTGAGAGTTTGGGGGAAACGGGAAGGGAAGAGATTAGTCAAAGAACGTATATGCAGATGTGCATAGCCTATGGACACAGACAATAGTGTAGGGAAGGCCTGGGGTGGGGCAGGGGCTGGGTGGAGGGGAGCAAAAAGGGAGGAGATGGGGTGGGGATGGTCTGTAACACTCTCAACAATAAAAAAAATGTCTTGACTGTCCAAGGTCTCCTTCAGCTGACCAGAGTGTTGACATACTGAGTATTGACTGACACGTCTGTAATGTTGATAGGTCCTATTGTGCTGTTAAGGAGACAAGGTAATTGCTCTTGGTATGGAGTCACAGCAAATTGGATAACAGCTTGGAAGAAGGGCCAACATAGTTAGTTTAGAGATTGAAAGATTGAAATGATTTCTTCCCGAGGTAGAAGAAACTTGTGATGGTCTGAACTTCTGAAGCCCTGGCAGAAAAGTTGAAGATGTGTGACCCTTTGCTCTGCATTTTAACCGAGTGAAAGTAATGACAGCACCTGCTCCTTTCCTCGGCTTGTCTTATCAAGGCTTCAGAAGGGGCCGCTGACGGTGATAGCCCCAGGGTCCTTCTGGGGAGTTAGCTTCCATGGATTAGAGGTTTTGAGTTCATTGAGGATAAAGTGATTTATCATTTAATAAATCACTCACTATTCAAACTCATCTTCCTCTTTAAATGATGAAATAGTCACCAGAGAGAAAGGGATGTAGAGGAGTGATATGTGGAATAGACAAGTATGGCTACATAGAGTCCATTAGGTAATTGAGAGCAGTTATTAAGGAATCAATCTAGTTACTTATTTGTAGTTCTATACTTGATCCTCCAGCTTAGGGTGGTGCTAGCTTATTGCTTTTGTTAACCCCTGGTTACCCTATAGTCTCCTGTTTGGCTTCTCGGTCCTTCTTTCAACCTCTGTAACAAAATGTCCTCTATTGTATCCCCACATTCCAGTTCCTTGGTTGGACCCTGACTGATTGAATGGGTTTTGTTTTATTGATGGAGAGCAGAGTAAGAAAGAGTTGAAGTAGAGAAAATAGAGCTGTAGTTTACGAGTTAATCATGTGTATGCTTAGGACTGGCCTCCGAGTGGGCCCTGCTCACCTGCAGTCGTTCTGATGACCTGTGGTGGACACCTGCATTTGTCCAGGCTCCGGTGGTGGTTCTCATTTGAGACTCTTATTTATTCCTGCTCAGTCATTTCACTCCCATTTACTTCCATTTTCCTCCAAGAGGATATAGAGTTTGTTCACTGGAAGGCTCCTATATTTTTCTGTTAATGCAATAGGTGAAGAAAAAAGAATGAATTCTAAACAGTTCAATGTGGAAAATGAAATATTCAGTCCAAATGAATTTTCTTGTTCCCCCATAGAGTAGCATTTATGAAATTCAGACTTCATTTAGCATGTGTTTTTTGCTTCTCCAACTAAATCATAATATTAATAATTTTTCTATGTACACTTTGGCTGAAATTTTCTCCATAAATAAAGCTGCTACTAAAATGACTTCCTTAATATGATGTTAGATATGATTAGTTCACTGCAAACCCACAGAAAAATAATATTTATATGATCAACACGGTAAAGGTAATAACCCCGAAACTGCCCAGTTATACGAGTGTTCTATAGAAAGCAGTGCACATGCTTACATCTGTGCCTTTGAAGAGATCTACAGAAATCATGTTGGTTTCAGTTTCTTTGTTGTAAAGGTTGATCATTTGGTAAATTTTGTTAAAGAATTATTTACTGAGTCGGATTGCACAAAAATTATAAAATAAGTATGATATCCAAAAATTTGTCCTCTCTGCTAATAAAAACCCAGCAAATTTGTACCTTTCAAAAAACCAGATTTTCTGTGGTTGTTAAAGCATGTGCGTATAAAAGCATTTAGTCATTTGAAAGACAATCCAGTATCAAACATTTTGTAGAAGTTGGAGAACTCTAGGCCAAGTTAGAAACCAAAAATGGGTTTTACACTTATCTCAGGGAGCTGGCCCATTTCTCCAAGACAATCCTGAATTATTAGTTACCTCCAATTGAAAGCATTCATGTTTCATATTAAAATTCTCAGGTTGAGTGGAACTCAGGTGACCTAGAACTGACATTATGAACACCTTTACACAAATTAAAACCGGGACATGCAAAGCCACGCTGTGGCAACCAAGCGCATACAAGAGCTTTCTTTGGCTCCCAGGACTCGCACAGCCAGATGCACGAATGCTCTGTGGGCACACATGAATGAAAAGCCTGAGGGAAGTGTCAGGGCCAGGCCAGTGATGGTGGTGTCTTAAAATCATTTGAAAGGTGGTAACACAAATCCAGGGCTCCTCGTAAAACAAGCTTACATGTTTGCTTGGTGGGCACCAACGGTTGGCTGGGCAGTTAATGAGCTCCAGAACCGTTTATTGGTTGGTTGCTCATGAGAAGTCCAGTCATGCTGGGATGCTGCTGGAACCCTACCTGGTCTTGGTGCCCATTTCCTCCCACAGTATTGTGGGTATTTCCATTAGGCCAGATGCCTGCAGGTTTTTAGGGCATCCATTGCATGGAAGTTGGTGGAGTTGATGTCTTCATTTCCTTATCACATTCGTTTGGCTGGGGACGGGAGGGGATGTGTTGGGTCAGAGGCAGATGGGAAAAGATGGTCTTTGTCAAGGGCTCTCAGGCAGCTTGCAAAGGGCTGTGCTGAGAGGGTGAAGATAAGCAGACGGAGCAAGTGCAGGGAGAGGAAGCAGCACTTCCTCCGGGCGGTTCTCAGGACTGTGTCTGAGCTGTTTACTTCCTATGTGGATACCTGGAGCGACCAGAAGCACGTCCCTGGACCAGCCTCTGATGGGGCTTGTTTACCCACTCTCTCTGCAGGAAGCAATTGTGATAAGGCCTCTGGGCTGCTCTGGAGGCCTTTTTCCATTCGGTGGCTTTTGATTGATCATGTTGTGAACACAGTGCTCTATTCTTGGACTGATTTATTAACAAGGTTCAGAGAACCTCCCCCATTTATTTTTTATTTTTAAAAAAATATATTTTATCGATTTTTTTAAAAGAGAGGAAGGGAGAGGGATAGAGAGTTAGAAACATCGATGAGAGAGAAACATCGATCAGCTGCCTCCTGCACACCACCTACTGGGGATGTGCCCGCAACCAAGGTACATGCCCTTGACTGGAATCGAACCCGGGACCCTTCAGTCCGTAGGCTGACGCTCTTATCCACTGAGCCAAACCAGTCAGGGCGAACCTCCCCCATTTAGAGGGATTTTTCCTTTGGCTTAAGGAGAAAGTCATTATTTGCGCCTCTAAAGAAGAGCTTTTTCCAGCTTTCAGTTTAAGAACCGATGAGGATGGAGTAGCTCTGTGTCTAGGGAGCAATACCATCACACCAAAATGTGTTAGTATGTGCACACTTGACATCTAACTCATTGTCTTGGTGTAGCTGTGTTTTTTCCTGCCAGGAAAGTGGGGGGTGAAAGGCTTCTTAAAGAAAATGCTGGTTTGGACAACTCATGTGGAGACTCTAGGGCCTATTCAGAGGGTTTTAAAAAAGTACTTTATTGTACTTTAGGGGTATCTCTTCTTTTCTTCACCTTAAAACCATTTACCCTCCTACGGCCCTCCTGTTGCAATGGCCCTGAGCTGTGCCATGTTTATTTTGAGTTACTGGTTTGGTATGGATTGGGTCTGTGTATGGACTCTGCGTGCTTTGGACCAGAAATGTGATTTGCTTGGCCCCACTTCAGATATTGTCAGCACCTTGTGCATTTAGGGTTCTATAAAAATATGAAATAATAACCACATTTATGAACTGAAAACAGCTTTCTCACCACACTTACTTCTCAGTGGACAACAGCAATTTCCACGTTTGAAAAGCAACCAGTATTCAACATCTTTCATTATCTCTATGCTACTTCCAATAAAATTGACCTAATGAGAAGTTGGAAGCATCTTATGTCTCTGTTTTGTGACATTATCGATCCAGTAAATGCTTTTCAAAGTCTAAATAAAACACACGTTCTGCCCCGGGGTGAGAATGCTTAGATAGGAAAGTTCATGCTGTCCAGCAGCTGGTATCACTCATCGTGTTTGTTTTTCCTTCTGTACCTTGACCAGTAACAGGAACAAGGAGAACAGAACACTGAGGAGATTAGTTTCTTTTAAAAAAAATGTGACCTTCCTGCAGCTCAGATGGGAAATACCATCTCAGATTCTGGGGAGTCACTGGATAAGGCGACTGTGCACACCTGCCTAAGCAAACAGCTCAGGCGTGCGGGCGCAGACAGGGCTTCTGGGATGACCAATGCGATCCTCTTAAGTCAGTTATGCGGTGTAGCCACATGCCCTGTCAGGCCCACAAATGTTCGTTAAATTCCTGCTGCCTATAGTAAAGTGGGACATAATAGAGAGTTTCTCAGAAGATTGATTTTTTAAAAATATTTGATTACATTTTATTAATGGGGGTGAAATGGTTCCTAGAGCAGGCAGTCATGTTTTATGTCTTTACTTGAAAACATAGAGCAGTATGACATCCCCGTGTTAGTCACCAGAGTGTCTGTTGAAATGTGAAAATCTATTGTCTTCAGCTTTGTTTCTTTCATTTGTGTGAGCCAACAGGCATGTACTTGCGAGGGGATGGCAGCAGTTCTTTGCAGACACCTGAGACGGCTCCGGCTCCGGTAGAGTCTTTAGAAAGAACACACCGACTTACGTGTTTAAACTAGTGCACAGATGAGCAAAGCGGGCAGGGACTTCATCTGATACCAGCTGAGCAGACTTTGAGAATATTCAGTGGCACACATCTTAGGTAGAGGTGTCAGAGCATTTGCTGGGTCTCCAGAGAAGAAAAAGTTGTCCATGATTGAGCATAAGCTCACAAACAGGATTTCTGGAGGGGAAAGCCTTGGTTACACGGCCTCCTTCTCACCTCTGGTGTCTGTGCCCAGGGCAGATGGTTGCCTGAAAAAGACCGGAGCTGCCCTCACGGCCGCATTTCAGTTCTGTGTCTAATTGGCTGGTGGACCTCCTCTGGGCCTCAGTTTATTCATTTGTGAAATGACAGAGTTAGATAGGGTAGTGTGTCTAGTCAGTTGGTCACCACCGGTGTCAGGCTCAAAATGCTTGTGCAAATGCAGATGCCCGGGCTCCCTGGCCCCTCTGAATCCGAATGTTGTGGTGTGGCCTGCACTGTGCATTTGTAACGCTGCCACCTCCAGGTAATTTCTTCCACCAGCAAACCTTGGAGAAGTGTACTGTTTAACCTAATACCGCTCTAAAGTTCCTTCGTCCTTGAATTTTCTAGGCTTTAGGTCGGTGCTTCAAAAATAAAAACCCTCCCTTCCCCAGGGGAATGGCTGAGGTCTGTTCCAGGGTATTTTGTCCAATTAAACTCTTGTAAATAAGACGTTTTGGAACTGAGCTATCTCCAGGACTGTAGGTAGGAAGCTCGCCCACAGCACAGAGATAAACTGGAACAGTGCCCTTGGAGGGGGGGAAACTTCATAAGGCTTTGCAAACACCAATGTCCTTGTACTACATTCACCTTCAAAAGAATCCCTTGAAGGCCCTCACTTCCTCCCTGCGGCCGAGGATCGGTCTGTGCGCAGACTCCACAGCCAGGTGATGGGCTCTTTAGGCTTTGGTTCAAGGCTGGGGAGGGTTCAGTTCTTCCTTGACTCCTTCAGACTCAACATCTGAGGTACAAGCTACAGAAAGCCATTTGGTGGGGATTGTAGCGAGGGAAAGTCCGTTCACAGTCTGACACCTCATAAAGCCTTATTTTAGAGTTTGGGGGGTTTGGTGTACATAATTTATTTTTTGGTCTTAAGCAAGCACCTGGGTGTGGGTTTTTCTCTTTCTGGCTGACAAAACAAAACAGGGTTCAATTAATTTCTCCCCTTTAAACACTTTATGATGGTTGCAAAGCAGCTGGAAGAGGTTGGGTGCAGCCAGATGAATCTGGGCTGTGGGTTTTCTTTCTCCAGAATATAGAGTGGTGGTTTCCAAGCAAGGACGGTTTACCCTGTAGGGCACATCTGGCAATACACGAAGGGATTTTTGCTTGTCACAGCGGTGGCCATGCTACTGGCATTTCCTGGGTCGAGGTCAGGGATGCTGCTAAACAACTACAATGTACAGGCCAGCGCCCCTCTCCCAATAAAGAATGATCTGGCTCAAAATGTCATAGTCCCAAGGTTGAAAAATGCTCATATTCATTAACTATATGTTTCTGGATAGGGGCACATTCATGAAGCCAGAAGGAGTGGATGGAGAATTATTATTAAAGGGAGGGTAACGTTGACATGGAATATTTGACACAACTTAAAATGAAAATAAGGCTTAACTAATTTCTAGGACAGGTTCAGACTCAATGAGGTGCTTATAACAGATTTTGAAAGGGATCCAGGGGAGACCTGTAGGCTGGGTTGACTATAAAGAGGCAGACTCATTACTGTTAGGCCAGGTGAGGACACAAGACAAGTTTCATTGGTTAACAGAGACATATTAAACATCTTAGCACAGTCGAGTGATTTGAACAAAAAGTATTATATTTACTTCTTCCTTTTGAAAGTTACATTATGAAGATTCTAGCATATCTCAGGTCTAGACCATCTGCTCACCCCTCCAAGTGTTCTTAGGCTGTTGAAAGCATCAAGTAGTTAACCACCAGTTACAAACGGAGCCCGATTGAAGAAGATGCTGTTCCTCTTGATGTCCCTGTACGCTCCTTCGACCTGCACTGGGTATTTTCTCTGCCCCCGACCCCACCCCCAATCCAGTCTCTCTCTTCCTGTGCACCAGGAAATGCCCTGGTTTCTGGGTAGATTTGACTAATGAGAGACACCTGCAAGAAAGTGGAGGGCAGGGGGGAAAAGAGGTTCAAGGTATTTACCCTCGTCCTCCCTCCTCCCTGCTTCCCAACCTTCTGTTAGTGGCTGTTCCTAGGAGACCATTCTTTCTCCATTGTTGGCAGCTCTGCAGACCCCGTGTCCACCACTCACCCCTCTGACAGGGGTGTGGTCATGCTTTCACTCCAGCTCCTCCCTGGTGCCTCACCATCTTTTTGGTTCTTTTAACTCAGAACGCTACTCTGTAAATCCCTTCATTTACTTCTTTGTCGTTAAGCCCTCTGTAGGGTGCCATCTGTTTTATGCTAGGCCTCTCACAAACGCAATACCCATCAAATTTTTAGTAGAAGAATATTGATTTTATATGAAATATTCAAGTAATATTGAACTGGAAGCTAGAAGCTTGGCTTCTTATCCCAGTTCTAGTAAGGATTTCTTATGAAAACCCATTGAGCCTCACTTATTAAATAAGAATAAAAATATATGCTGTTTATCTTATGTAGATGTGAGAATACAAATAATATACAAGGTGGGGCAAAAGTAGGTTTACAGTTGTGAGTATGTGAAACAGAGTTTATTTTTGTATTATTATTAATTATTGTACCATTTTCCCTATTAACAAATGTAAGCCTACTTTTGCCCCACCTTGTGTACAATTTGAAAACATTAAACAGTGAAAATTGGAAGCCACCTGGCATATTGGCAAGGAGACTAGCCATATGTATTCTGATTCTAGCCCCCACTAATTTAGGACTCAACTTTGTGTGTGTATTTTGGTTCTCTGGGACTCCTTTTCCCCATGATAAACATGCTGATTAGGTTAGCTGATCTTCCTGGTTTCTCCTAGTTTCAAAAAAAATTCCCCAATGTTTATACAGAAAAATGTTTTCATTGTTCTAGACTATTTGGCAGCATGACCTGAGCGGGGGAGTAAAGAACCTATAATAATAAAAGTGTAATATGCAAATTGACTGAACAGCTGAACAGTGGAATGACTGTCCAGACCTTCCGGACAACATTCCGGATGAAGCCGGGGCTGTGAGGGCCAAGGCAGCTGGGACTGCGAAGGCCCACTCTTGCATGAATTTCATGCATCGGGCCTCTAGTGTAGAATATAAAGGAGGAGTAAAAAAGGTAGATGGAGGCGATCTAGTACTAAGTCCCAGTACCTCAGAATGTGATTGCATTTGCAGACAGGACCTTTACAGAGGTAATTAATGTAAAAGGAGGTCATCAGGCTGGGCCCTCGTTCAATATGACTGTTGTTCTTAGAAGAAGAGGACATTAGGACACAGACACATACAGAGGGAAGACCACGTGAAGACAGAGAAAAATAGCTATCTCCAAGCTAAGACTTCTACAAGTCTCAGAAGAAACCAACCCTGCAGACACCTTGATCTTGGACCCCTAGTCTCCAGAGCCGTGGGAACATGCATGTCTGTTGTTTAAGCCCCCCAGTCTGTGGCCCTCTGTTATGGCAGCCCCAGCAAACTAGTACACATGGTAGAGGGTACTCAGTAGCACTGACTTCAAAATCTCTTACCATAGAGACGTGAGGCTGCTAGAATTCATCCACTGCCCCATGCCCTCTTCCCCCCATGCATGTTGTATGCCACTGGTGCTGGAAATCCACGCCTGAAAAACACACCCACATCTCAGACATCACAGGGCTGGCATCCCATATCAGTGCGTAACACATCAGTCTTCCAGCGTATCCGTGACTCCATGAGGAAGAGAGCAGCGGGGCAAGAAGGGATTATTATTTTTAAGTTTCTATTTACAGACATCCTGCTGAGGTATGTGCAGGGGAGACCTGGTGCATCACTGGGCATATTTCAGCTGTCGGCATGCAGAATACGCTCCTGAAGGTAGCTAGATCCAGGGTAGAGAATTTCCTTCCCAGACTGACTGTGGGAGCTCTGTACATTTATTTGAGGGAACTGGCCAGCCTAGAGGCTGAACCTGTGATTTATAACTACAGGTTCTTCTAAATACTATCTGATCCTGGCTGAGGGTGGCCAGCCCTTCTAAGGGGACACTGCACATCTTTAGTGATTTATGCAGACAAAGCCTGCAGCCTGGGCATCGGCATGACCCCCTTCTTCCACCCCACGCACAGGACTAAATGCCAGAGTCCCCCCCGGCAGTGGCCCTTTAAAGAGGAATTTGCTACCTGTTGACTTAAGGTGCCGGTGAGGAGGTGCTCTCGGTTCCGATACAGCTGCTTGAGAAGCAGAAGAAACAGCTGTAGGGAGAAGCATCTTCAGGAAGGTCATCCTGGGCCAGATGCCACCAGGGATGCAGCAGGAAGAGGAAAGACGCGAACAGATCAGCAGAGGCCTGGCCTTCACCCCAGCTTCCAGCGCAGGAACACAGCGATGGGGCAGGTCATTTAGACCCAGTGTCTCCTCCTAGGAAATCCAACCTGTAGCAAATATTAATGGTAAAAATGTGCATAGCACTTGTCCCCTAGTGAGGCACGAAATGTTTTACTCAGTTAAATGTAGTTTGCTTAATCCTCCCAAAGGATCCTGCAAGCTTGTCTTAGAATTCTAAAATGTACCCCGAGATTCCTGCCCTTTTGTGTATATACCCTCCATGATCTGCCCCCCCTACACACACACACACACACACACACACACACACACACACACGAGTGTGAACAGGACTTACTCACATGAAGGCTATCACTCTGTGATCACTTTACAAGGTGAAAGAATGTCATAGATCTCATTAACGCCCCTAATCATTTCCCTTTGAGTTCATCAAAAGAGAGGCTACCCCCATGGGCCTGCCCTAATCAGGTGAGCCTCTAACAGGATGGGGCCTGAAAGAGGAAACTCCAAGTGGGAGAGGAGTTCTCTGCCGGCCCTGAGGGAGAGGCTGCCATGCTGATGGGGCGGTGCGCGGGAACAGCAGGCAGCCTCCAGACACTGAGAAGGGCCTCCATTACCGTCCACAGCGAGGGGGAACCTCAGTCAGACAGTCACAAGGAAACGGCCCAAAGGAGCTTAGAAGCAGATCTTTCCCGAGTCAAGACCCCAGATGAGTAGGTGCCCAGCCGACACCTTGATTTCAGCTCCGTGAGACCCGGGGCAAGTCCATACAGGCACCACAGTGTGCGGGGCTTCTGACCCACAGAGGCCGAGAGAGAACACGTTTGTGTTGTTTTATGCCACACATTTCAGTTTAGATATTCACAGAAACGAAGTTTGTAGCAACCCGTGAGACACGGGGCAAGTCCATACAGGCACCAGTGTGCGGGGCTTCTGACCCACAGAGGACTCGACATAACACATTTGTGTTGTTTTATGCCACACAGTTCAGTTTAGATATTCACAGAAACGAAGTTTGTAGCAATACACAGCAATAGAAAACAAATACACCTACCTGTTATTTTACCTACATTTCATAATAGGGACTGAGGTACAAAGAACTTACCTGAGATTACAAAGCCAGTGAGTGTTTGCACTTGGATTTGAGCCTCGGTCTCCAGCTCCAACAGGTGTCTGTTTACTCTGTTACAACCCCCTTTTTTCATAGATGGGAAATCCTAGGCTTCATTCCCAGAGTTATTTTTTTCTTCGGACTTTTCTTCTTAAAAATCTACAGTTTTTGAATTACAGCCCTGTGGTTAAGGGAAAATGACATTTACTGGGGAAGCAACTTGTTATGGTCTTAGGTACTCTGCCAACTGCAGTGAAAAAGGGACTTTTAAATGTCATTTATACATTAAGGAAGATTTAAAGAGACACTGAAGAATATGCCTGCATTGCCAAAATCTGTAGGCCTCATATCCACAAGTATCCTGGGCGAAGGTTTAAATTGTTCTGTTATGAGTGAATGGAGTGTATCCTGCCCCAAGTCTGAACCAAAATGTTTAAAAGTTACACTTTATTTATAGGGATTTGTGAAGACGCCAGATCTACAAACATATAAAAGGTAGACCTGAAAAGTAGGCAGAAGCTTTCACTGCCTACAAAGTCATTTGGGGAAAGGAAATAGTAAAAAAATTAGGTAATTTTCTATTAAGTAGGAGAGTATAACCTGGATGGGTTTTTCTCAAATTTCTGAAAACCCAAATCGTACCTTCTCTAATTTAAATGAGAAATGACTGAGATCCAAGTAATATAACGGTCCAGACAGATCTCAGAAGATAACCAGGTGAGTGATCCAAATTACCAGGCAATGGTGTCGACCTAAATGGAGACTTCACTGTGGCTGATTTGATCTGGTCCCTGTACAATGATTGGAAGATTATAAAATCTTAGGGGGAATACTGGCAGTGGCATCACCATAATGCATTTTCACGTCTGCCAATTTATTTCATCTATGGCCTTGACTACCTTAGTATGATGCATCCCTGTAATTTTAGTTTTGATATTCACTTTTTTTTTTGCTTGTAAAATGCACTTGAGAATCCCTCTCCCATTAATCTTCAAATATCCTGGACTTTGCTCATCTATAGTCTTTGCACTTGCTTTGTTAAAACTGGCAAAGCACAGATGTACCTCCCGCTTTCTGAGGTGAAAGAAGAACGCTGGGCCATCATATGTAAGTGACATCAGCATTTCAGTGTCAGAGGGCTGTGGGTATTAGTTTGCTCTCATTACAGGCGATGAGTTTGGGCCAAATCATCTCATCATGCCTTTTAGTCTTCCAGGAGCCTGCAGCATTTTACAAGATTTCCCCCAGGAGCAGGTGTGCTCTGGAATGGATTTGCTTGGCTTTCAGAAAAAAACGTTTTAAAAAAAAATGATGCAAAGGTGAAGCTGTGACTATTTGATTAAGAAACTTGCAAAGAAATTTTTCAAGGATACTAGTGATTTTTAAATATCTGATTGGATTTAGTTGTATTTGTATAGAATGGGCCTGCATCGTAATAATACCTCCCTCATGTATATGACAAGTTCTCTGAGAGGTGATATCACCTACTCAGGATTGTGATGAATTTAGGAGATAACACATGAGACTGTACCTAACACAGTGCCTGACCTGAGAGTTAATTAATTGATAGTGAAATATAAAAAAACCAAGACATTTAATTGAATGCCCACCAAGTGAAAGAATGCAGGTATAAAGCATGTTAGGTACTTATAAATGAGTGTGCGATTTTTCGGTAATGTAACTGTATTATTTTTAAAATAGAAAAACATTGTTGAAGAGAGTTCTTGCCATCATCGTTAGGTCCTTGAGATAGCCACATCCTTTGAGGTGGAGGGGAACTGACAGAGGGAGTGTTGGATAATTGAAGACCCTCATGACAGAATAAACTGGGCTACACCAAATTAGCTCATCTTTCACCGAAATATAGACTAACAGTTGTTTCATGAAGATCTTCCCTGGGTTAAAGCTGGATCCAGGAGTTCAGTCAGGAAGATGTGTGGGTTGCTAGCTTGCAGTGTTTTATCTTGCATGTCAGTGAAATCTGACTCAAGCAGAAGAAAAGCCACAGGGAAAAGCCCTCTTTCTGGGAGAAGTCTACCTGCGGCCTATGGCCAAGTGCCCTGCGTGCTACTCTGTTCTCCTTAAAAACAACTCACTCGTCAGGGTACTGACCAAGCCCCTCTTCTATTCCAGGAGCCGTGACTCTGCCCTAATTGGCAAACAGGTCACAGAAGGCCAATTATATTATTGTGTCTGAGTCATTATAAAGTTGAACAGTTTTATTTATTTAATTCCTTAATTGTTTTCACTGGATACTCTTGGTATCCTTTAAATTTCCTCTTTAATGAAAGACTGCATCTGTACTCCTTTGTAGCCTGCCAAGCGGTGTAATTGGCAAAGAGTATTTCAGGTGTTGGAGCCCTTTAGCCAGAACTCACTGTCACCCTCATTGTTCTGGGGAAAAAGAAAACAAACACTAGGAAATGACAGTGGATAAGCCAAAGCCTGGGCTTCAGCAGTGGAAGGAAGTGTAGTTAGTTCGCTTAATCTTAGAGGAAATCTTTTTTAAAGAAGCTGGATGGATTCCTTTAAGAAACAGAAGCCAACATGCTCTGTGGGGAAGGTGGCCCACTTGGTGACCGTTCGACCAGGTTTCAGTGGGCGCAAATGCCAGCCCGCTGGGTGAGGTCAGTCAGAAGTGGGCTCTGCCCACAAAGGGCCACCCCTAGGAAGTAAATGAGAACGTTTATTTTCAATAACTGCACACACACCCCCACCCACCGCCTTCTTCTGCATCCTCTTCCTCAATCCTGGAGTGTCTTTCTCCACTTTTCTTTCCAAAGGCTTATGGTATTGTAACTACTTGTTTTTATTTATTTATTTTTAAATATATTTTTATTGATTTCAGAGAGGAAGGGAGAGGGAGCAAGAGATAGAAACACCAAAGATGAGAATCATTGATTGGCTGCCTCCTGCACAGCCCCTACTGGGGACCGAGCCCACAACCCAGGCATATGCCCTGACCAGGAATTGAACCATAGCCTACTGGTTCATCAGTTGACACTGAGCTAACATGGCCAAGCTAATTACTTGTTTTTTAATTGTTAAAAGCATTTCATGTACTTTCTTTCTGTAGTTTAAAGTTTTCTAATCAAAGGAGGAAAGTACTGAGGTAAACTCAATTCCTACTAAGGTGATAGCTTCTCGGGGATTTTCTTTAGACTCTTTCTAGGGATCTTTGAACTAATACTTGGAAAGGATGGCGTTCAATTTAAGGGATACTCAGACCAGAGTGGAAGTGATGAGCAGGGACTTAAGCAAAAGATTAACTGAGCAAATGACATTGTGCCGTGGACGCCAATAGAACTCAAAGTGTTGGGTTCCAAATCTGCTTCTGCAATCCTGAAAAAAGATCATTCTCTTGAGTAATATGTGAAATGGACCTCATTCTGTCTGATTTCATTTTGGATCCTCCCAGAGGAAATTTTTACTAGTAAGATCGATCGCATGCCCCCTGGAGGCATGAGCTGCTTTTCTGGCAGTGTTTGTCCCCTACAGCACCCAACCACTTCCATCATCTTTTTCAGTTGTTGTTGCTGTTTGGATAGGACTTTGTAGGGCTTAGCATTATACTGAAACTCGACAGTATGACCTCCGGGGGTTGCATCTAGTTTGGAGAGATGCAGATGTACCCATGTACTAAAGAGGGTGGTAAACAGTTACAAAGTGTGACTGTTGTCCAAGTAGAAAGGCTCCCAGGATAGCCACCAGGCAATGCAGAGGCTTCACTCCACCTACAGAAGAGATAACTGCAGTGAACCCTTCTGGGCACGTGTATCTGATTAGTACCTATGGGGAAAACAGCATTGAATTTGTAGACACAAATTAGGTATCTTTTATTCACTATGCTGCTCCTGTCCACCTCCTCAGATCCACTCACGCCCCTCTGCCCAGTTCTGTGCCTAAGAAGGTGACCTCTTTTGGTTGCACCATCAAGGATCTTGACGATCTGGCTTCTGACTGACTTTGGTCAAT